TACACAACCAAAGACACAATCTCTCACACACACATACACACTCCCAAAAATGTTTTTATTTTTTTAAGGTCTCCCCATCTTCCAGCAATTGCAGTCCAGTGTGGGCTTCTGTTCTGTGACGGAGCTCCATCCATATGTGCATTGGTTGTACAGCTCCCTTGTGTGCTCTGTTGAGGTGCCGGGAGACAGAATGTGACGTCACTCCGGTCCATGCACCTCTATAGGACACTTGAGGTTGCTGTAAGCTATAGGATGGGGCTATGGCTGTGAGGGAGCTCCATGTATGGATGGAGACCATAGCCCCATCCCATCTCAAGCTGACACTCGGCCCCGGGCAGCATATTCTGAATGGCTGCTTGGCACGAGAACTGACAGTGCTGCGCTAGAGTGAGGCAGAAGAGCCTCTCACCTAGAAAAATGGAAGCCATGCGGTGACCCACTGAACATGGGGTCGCGACCCACTTTTGGGTCACGGCCCTCTAGTTGAGACCCTTTTTACTTTGTAAACTGAGTAATGTTTGTAAAGAGAATGTTCACTTAATTTAGTAAATAAGATGAAGCTCTACTTCAACCATATAATCACCAATAAGAAAATAATTATTAATTTCCATTGCATGTGTTTTTTTTTTTTTTCCCCTTGCACATGATTGGAGAATTGAAGTGAACACAGCCTCACCTTTTTCACTCAACTAGGCAAACATACATTTTAATAAATAGTCTCTACTCCTTTAGTAAATGAACCCTTAAATTGCTCACTACTATCCTAATAATTATAGTTGGCCAAAATCAACTTGGATTATCCAATGAGTTAGACGTTCCAGGCACCTTGAGGAGCTTGCTTGTTTTCATACTTGATCCCAAGCAAGTAATGGCTTTTGAGATGTTGAGGATGGGGCGGAAGGAGGTCAGGAGTTCATGAGATCTTCAATATCCATAGGGAGTTGATGAAAAAACAAATAATACAGGCTTGTGACACCAAAAGACAAACAGCAGAGGATGAGAAGGGGAGTACACAGGGGAGATGAGAAGTGTAAGGTTGCAATAACGGGTAGAGAAGGTGACCTGTGTCCTTATCTGAATGAGGAGATGCCTTCATGGGAGCTGAGCAGAACGCCTAGGGAACTACAAATCCCAGCACATCATGAAGTACAAAGCTGGAATTTATGATCCAGTTGACCCACGATGCCGTAAATTGATCTCCTGGTATGGGGACATTAGATCTTACCTTGAGAGGCTGTTATTACTGACAAGAGAAACACTAGCAGAACCAGAGAAACGGAAATGTAAAGCTCTCTGCTAGTACACTAGTATAAATTACAAAGGACATGGTGTAAACAGTCCGGTCATAACCCCGAAACATTAAACAGCCCTGCTGAGATCTTGTGCATGAACTGCCTTAGTGCCACTATCTCATTCCCTCTTTCCTCTGTTTATCTCAATCTAATCTCCCTTAAACTTCGCCATCAACAGATTTCAATCCTAATCCCCTGCAGGATAAAGCCGTGCCACTCCGTTCTAGCTTCTATCACAGACTGCTTAACCCTCTCAGCTTGGAGCTTGCTGCTCATGTGCTCACAGGCTGCCCGCTGCCAGGCACTGTCTATTCTCTGATACAATGATCTGGTCAAGGTGTGGGCATTCACTGCATAGCACAAACACGATGAGTGTTTAGAAAACCAGTGGGATAGCAGATCATCAAATCAGTGGATGACATGTGATCTATATCTCATACCGGGGTGTTGAAGGCAGACCTGATATGCAAAGAACGGAGATGGACGGAGAGATAAGCCATGACCAGCACTTGTAGGTGGCCTCTATGACTCATCCACATAGGCAGGCTGACCAGTGCCATAACAAGTCCTACAATTTACATTACCAATCACACTCCTCTCTGCCTTTCAACATTCTATATATAAAAAAAAAGATGGTTGATATAAGGAGGCTGATTTGCTAAAGAAGTTAAGAATGTTCACACAATAAGCACACTTTAATTAGCCATTCGTGTGAAAAAAACAGAAACAAATTCTGTCTGCTTATTTCATCTGATTGCATAATTGAAGCGAATATTCAGGCAATTTATTGTGTGAACATTTTTAACTTCTTTAGTCAATCAGCCTTATTACACCGGAGTTAGCAGTGAAGGGCTACATAATAGTTACACAATAATAAACTCGCATGATACAATTACAACTCTACAACTAAGGTCCGTTTTGTATCAGTGTCATTACCAGAACCGCTACTGGGAAGGAGAAAATCTGGTGTCCCATTTTCTAATTCCATCTCATGTGAGCAGCCTGTGAGGTTGTTGCCAGTGTTTTTTTTGTAATTGTCCACATTTACAGCTTATCCTCAGTCAAGCTATTTTTGTTAAATATAGTTATGTAGAAAAAAAAACTGTTAACGTAAAAATGAAATATCTCTGAATTTAGAAAAAAAAATGTCTAAGCAATTATAAATTAAATGGATTATTTTAATCTATCTATCTATCTATCTATCTATCTATCTATCTATCTATCATTTTCATAATCTGGCTTTGTATAATCTATCTTTCTTTTGAACTGTCTATTATTTATATAATCTGTCTTTCTATAAAATTATCTATCTATATATCTATCATCTATATGTCTATACTCTATCTATCTATCTATCTATCTATCTATCTATCTATCTATCTATCTATTATTTCTATCATCTGCCTTTCTATTATCTCTCTTTCTTTTTAACTCTCTATTTTTTCTATATTTTGTCTTTCTATAAAACTATATTTTCTATATTCTGTCTTTTTTTAAAACTATCTATCTATCTATCTATCTATCTATCTATCATTTTCATCATCTGCCTTTCTATTATCTATCTTTCTTTTGAACTGTCTATTATTTATATAATCTGTCTTTCTATAAAAATATCTATCTATCTATCTATTCTTTCTATCTATGTTTTCTATCATCTGTCTTTCTTTGTTAACTCTCTGTTTTTTCTATTATCTATCTATCTATCTATCTATCTATCTATCTATCTATCTATCTATCTATCTATCTATCTATCTATTTTTTTCTATTATCTGTCTATCTATTATCTGTCTTTCTTTTTAACGCTCTGTTTTTTTCTATCTATCTATCTATCTATCTATCTATCTATCTATCTATCTATCTATCTATCTATCTATCTATCTCCCCCCAAAGCAACACAAACTGAGCTCCATATATAAACAAGTATTTTTTTGCAGACATATCTTTCTCGTGGAAAAAAAAATATATACTTTTAATATAAATCTTTTGTATCTGAAACAAGGGGGATCAGCAGAGGAGGCTCTCAAAGCCTGACAAGACACCCTATATTTAATCATATAGTACAACGTTGCAAAGAGTGTTCCGAGTTCTCTTGGACCAGCAAGGCTCAGGACAGCAAAATATATACAAGGTCATCGAGTTAAATATAAAAAGGGATCGTTTGTTATATACATTTGGTCTCTTCTCTTGAATATGCTTATATAGTCTTTAGAAGTTCTTGTCATGATAAGGTGAGATGTCCCTTCCTGCAGTGGCTGTCTATAGGCTCCTTTCCTAAGGTCATGACGCTGTGGTCCCACATAGGCGACTTGAGCCCACCACCTCTTTGAGGTCATTTTCAGGTTTTCCAGCCACCATAAACGGCCACGTCTGTCAGAAAAAGGAAACAAGTAAAAATGAGTTTAATGCTCCTATAGGAAATAAGGAGGCAGCTCTGCTATTGCTGGGAATTAGGCTCCCCAGATGGTTAAATGTGGAGTACAGACCTCCACAGGCACAGTCTGCAACAATTGTATATATGTCTGCTTATATGAATAGAAATTCGCACACACAGACGTATACCATGTACATGGAGGATTACATTCAGTCTTGTGTGGGATGAAAACCCTGACATGAAGGGATTAGTCATACAGCAGATAGAAGCACTGATTCATGGAAATACATTTATCACACACTAGTTTCCAGGCACAATACTATCTGTATCTGCTCAGTGACAACACTAGCCAGGCTGATCAACACAGTATCTGTATTTTAGTTGTTTTTATTTAAAATATTTTCTGGATTACTACAAGCAATACCTTATATTTATAGTAGTTCAAAAATCAGGGATAACCACTAACATCATTTAGTCTTATCCTGCTATTTTAATAGTTGAGCCAAGATGTTATATGCAGTCTAAAATATAGAAATATAGTACTAACAATAATAATAATAATAATAA